TTCATATACTCAATTTTGTTGTGGAGTGTAATTGACAGTTTGCTACCTTTCCAAGCCAATATCTTGACAAAACTTATCAAATTCTATGGATGTGTACTCTCCTCCTCTGTCACTTCTAAGAACTTTGATTAGATAACCAGATTGTCACTCAACCATAGCTTGAAGCTTCTTGAAGATTGGGAACACTTTTGATTTCTATCTTAGAAGGTATAGCTAAGTCATTCTGGAATAATCATCCACGAAGATTAGGAAATACTTGTTTCCCACTTGAGTAGAGGTCTTCATGGGTCTGTCAACATCTGTATGAATAAATTCCAATGAAGCTTTTGCTCTCCAAGCTTTACCATGTGGAAATGAATCTCTATGATGCTTCCCAAATGCACAACCTTCATAGATTTCTTCATTTTCTTGGATACTCGGCAACCCAGGCACCATTTCTTTTTCTTGTAGCTTATTGAGACTTTGAAAATTCAAGTGGCTAAGCCTTTTATGCCATAGCTTTGAATCTTCTTGCACTTCCATCATGAGTGCAGATTGAGTTGCATACTCAATTACAAGAGGAAAGCTTTTACTCTTCCTTATCTCAATCTTGGCCAAGAGTTGTTCATGATTCCTCCTATCATATATCTTGCAAGTATTGTCTAAAAAATACAAGTAATAGCGATGCTTAATGAGTTGTCCAAGACTTAGCAAATTTTTCTTCAAATAAGGAACTAACATGACATCCTTGATGAACATATTTTTGTATGCATGTCAATAGTACCTCTTCCTAATGTATGTACTAGCTGCCCGTTACATCTTTACTCAGGTTGGGTTTGTAGTGTCATTGTTATGGAGAATGTTCTTGTTCATCGTCATATGATTACTACAGTCGCTGTCCAGAAACAAAACTTTATCTTCTTCTTAGATGGTTGTGTCATGACCAACATAAAACATATTGGTCTCTTCACCTTTTGCTTCGGTGTAATGAGCTAGCTGATTATCCTTGTAGGTACAATCCTTTTGCATATGCCCAAATCTGTTACACTTGTGGCATTTCACTTTTCCCTTGAACCAACATTCACCGAAATAGGCTTTGTCACAAATTTTGCACTTTGAAGTTTACGAACTCTTCTCAACCTTTTTCTTCTCTTCAAAATTACCATTTCCTTCCCACTTTTTGTTTTTGCCTTTCCAATTCTTGTAGGACTTGGCCTTGCTTTGACTCGAACTAGCTTCAGTTTTTGGATTCACTATAAGCATTTGGAAAGCATTTTCTACATCATTGTTGTCATGCCTGAATAGTCTTTGAGCAAAACCTTTGAGTGAACCAATCAATTCTTCAACACTCAAAGTTGACAAATCCTTAGTCTTTTCTATGATTGAAACTATGTTGTCGTACTTTCTTGGCAAGCTGATTAGATACTTCTGAACTATTCTCTCATCAAACAAGGTTTCACATAGCTTTTCATTTAATTAATAATCTCAGACAATCTACTCAGGTAATCATCTAGCAATTCATCATCTTTCATTCTTATGTACTTAAAATCTCTTCTTAAAGATTGAAGTTTGATTGCCCTTACCTTAGTAGAGCCTTTGTAAACTTTCTCCAGCACATCCAAGCTGATTTGGCACTTGTCTCATTCAGGATTCTTGGAAAAATTTCATCTGAGATAGCATGTTGAATGACCCCAAGAGCTTTTGCATCTCTCTTGATGTTTTCCTTCAGTTCCCTTGTTTGAGCCTCTGTCAAAGCCACTATACTTAGGAGTACCATATAGCCATCTTCAATCAAGCTCCACAAATCATGAGATACAAAAATTGTTCTCAACTTTGTCCTCAAGAAGTCATAATTCACTCCACTGAATATAGGAGTTCGGATCTCTCCACTGCTACTTGAACCAACCATGAATTTGAAAATTTTGATTCTAGGGTTTCACTTAGAATTTTCCCCCTTTTGAGAATCAAAAAACGCTCCACTCTTTGATTAGATTGGCTTTGATACCACATGTTGATATTCAGACCATCTTCATCATTAATATAACTAGAATAAAAATGAGGGAAGGATGGAGATTTGAGTAAAAGGCATCAACAGGGCAAACAAAAATAGAGAGAATGACTTTATATAATTCTCAATCCACTAGTGTAAGAAAATGTGAAGCAGAGAGCTATTTTTTCACACATAGATATTTTTCTGATTTAGATTAAATGTCCCAGTACATGGGACAGCTGCTAAGGTAATTGGACAGCCCTTTACAAAAGATCTAAGCCATACATGTGGAAATAGATTAGAGAACCAAAACATTTCAAATTACAAAGGACATCAAAGTTAGACAGCAAAAATAGAAGCAAAGGATTAACTTTAACACTGAGGACCTCTTCACATTTTTGCTGGGAATTGGGCGAGGGAATGGGTTGATGTAAGGCATAAATTGAAAATATATATTTTTATTAGTTTCAAACATTTATAGATAATAATTTTTGTTAGTTTCTTGTCCACGCTGCCCAGCTAAATGTCCATATCGGCAAAAATGTGGTCTTATATTTGCCACGAAATTAATTAATAGCTAAATTGATAGAAAATTTAACGCATGTCTAACTTTGCAACAAATGACATGAATGATAAGGGATATATAGAAGGATGATAATTTCTAAAGTATCGTTGTTTATATGTCATATATAACATAACAGTAATGTATTGAGATAAAATTGTTACGATCTCGATCGATAACCCTGAGAAATGCAGATAGTATATTGAGATGATATTATAACATAACAGTTATATCCATAATGATGTCTATTTGTACCATTATATGATTATTGTTGATATTGTTCAAGCAGGAGGATAACAATGGGTTGCTCGCAGACACAATAAGAATGATTCGCAAAGGTAGAACAAACTCAGATTGGCAGAAGATCGAACTGGAACGAGTCGAGATCGAGTCCAACAGTAATGTATTGAGATAATATTGTTACGATCTCGATCGATTACCCTGAGATAATGCAGATAGTACATTGAGATGATATTATATCATAACAGTACATCCATAATGATGTCTATTTGTACCATTATTTAATTATTGTTGATATTGTTCAAGCAAGAGGATAACAATGGGTTGCTTTCAGACACAACAAGAATGATTCACAAAGGTAGAACAAACTCAGATTGGCAAAATATCGAATTGGAACGAGTTGAGATCGAGTCCAACTCTGCGAGAGAGTGAGATTTGCAGAGAGATCGAGTTTGACTCATGTGACTTTAGATACGGCGGTTCGCAATGTCCCACTCTTGGAAATAGGGAAAAGGAAAGTTAGAATTTGTGGTGACGCTTAGATCTGGGGTTGTCATGACACTCGTTGAAGCTGATTTTGATGCAGAAAAGAGAATGGAAAAGAAGCAGAGCGAAAAAAGAAAAACAAAGGAGAGAGAGTGAGTTGTAGAGCAAATGAGTTGATGAAGGCGGCACAGAGGATTTATATGGAAGGGTTTTGCAGACATTTCACATCTTAAAAAATTCTATTTCAGCTAATCAACTTAAGTGTTTTGCCATTTAGTATTAATTCCTCGTTCCCTTTCGTGTAAATTCCCCTGCAACGAATTAAAAACTTGCGGGGCCCTATCTATTTCCCTCTCTCGAGCCCCGAAGAAAACCCCCTCCCCTTCGGACTCCACATCTCTTTTGACTCTATATATGTGGGCACCTGATATCTATGAGGGCTTTTGACTGATAGAAAGCATCCCTCTTTTGTCCCTCCTGACCCCCAAAAAATAACAATTGAAAAAGTTGTTCTTGCCGCGTCGGAGACATCTTTATCTGATTACAGTCTAGTAATATTCTTTTTCACTTGTAAGTGAGAGGTCTTAGGTTTAATTTTCGTCAAAAGCAAATTTGAATCACATTAATACTAACTTATTATGAGGCTAAACCTACTCCGTTTTTCTCCCCCTTAGTGTAGATAAATCATTTGTTCAAAAACCAACTTAAGTGTTTTTATTCCAGCACCTCCTCTTTTTTATTTTTTTATTTTTTTATTTTTAAGGCCTATCCTTGAATCGAAGTTGGCCTATTAGGGCACTTCTGGACACTTCAATTGTAATGTTAAATAAACATGACAGCTATTTTACTATATATATTTTTAATGCAACAATATACTTGCAGCAGAGGGTGGGGAATGGACTCAATCACAATGAGCAAACTATAATAATTTGGTTCAAATTATCATTAGGTTGTAGTAATTAGTGATCAAATAAGAGTTCCTATTTGTAGCTGGTACCATATACATCCCTTAAATTTTTGAAAGATTGTAGCCATGTTTGGAAGCAACAAGACGTGGAAGTAGCAAAGGAGAAGCAAGTTTGGAGGAAACCAATGGAGGGGGGATTTAAATGGCTTTGACATGGAGCTTGGAAGAACATGAATAAAATGGGTGGGATAGTGGTGGTTCAGAGTGAGAGATGGGAGAGGCATTTTATTTATACAATGGTATTCTACTCTAAGAGGAAAGTGATGGGGATGTTTTTCTTTAAGTGGAGGGAGATTTGGTCAGGTAACATTAATGGGTTAGCCAGTAATTAGGTATCGAATTCAATACAAATATAATATGAAATTGACATGTGAGCCGAACATCTCACTTACAAATGAAAAAATATCACTAGACTATAATACTGGTTGGTTAGAGAGGGCAATTTAGTTCAACATAGTATTTGAAAATTTTGGATATAAGTTTTCACACACTAACACTTTATTTAGTTAGTTTTTTCATAAGGAGGTATTTATAGGAAAATAAAGTACAAAGCTAAACCAATAATTAGAAACAAAATCAATCTTAATTAGATTAGTAAAACTAAACTGAAATGGGAAAGGAACTTAATTTATAAATAAAACTTTTATGAAAATATAAAAATATAAAATTTATTCATGACTTGATTCATCTTCTACGTTAAAGTTTATCAATATTTAAATTTAATTAATATCTCTGCAAGGCAAATCTTAAAAAAAAAAAGAACATGGCTTATTATATTTCGAAGAACAGTCATCAAGAATCCTCATATATCATGAATACATACAACCTTTTTGGTAGCATACAACTGGGATTCGTAATACGCTCAAAGTAATACATATCCACTTACCGTTATGTTTACCTTATTTTGTTTTCCCATTTAGTACTATTAATAGCTTTATAAGGTAAGGTGATACAAATCTTTAGTGACAAAGAAGTGAAGGTAATTTCAAGGAACATAACCACCGTGACCACCACCTTCACCACCCCCACCTCCTCCTCCATGCGCTCCACCATAGCCGCTGCCGCCACCAGAACCTCCACCACCACCACCACCACCTGCATAGCCACCGCCACCACCACCACCAACTCCACCTCCAGCTCCTCCACCGCTCCCATATCCTCCTCCACTTGCTCCTCCAGCAGCATAACCTCCTCCAGCACCACCACCATGCCCACCACCACCGCCATATCCTCCACCATGTTCTCCACCAGCGCCATAACCTCCACCTGCACCACCACCTTCTCCTCCTCCATAACCACCGCCATGCTCTCCAGCATATCCGGATCCTCCGCCACCACCGGCACCTCCTCCTCCACCACCACCAGCCCCATGTTCTCCACCAGCACCGTAGCCAGCCCCACCACCTTCACCACCCCCACTTCCATACCCTCCTGCACCCCCGACACCATATGCACCACCACCACCACTGCCTCCACCGCCGCCACCACCATGTCCACCAGCATGTCCGTAGGCAACACCACCGCCTTCTCCACCACCACTACCACCTCCATATCCAGCAGCACCATGCTCTCCTACAGCTCCATAGCCACCACCACTTCCTGCACCTCCTCCGCCACCATAACCTCCAGCACCGCCGCCATACCCTGATCCAGCACCGCCCCCAATGCCATGGCCTGCCCCATAGTTGATAGCAGGCACGTGGACTGGCTCTTCATAATTTAGGAGTGTTCTAGCTGCAGAACATATCCCCATACCCAATAACACAAAGAAAACATAAGTACGAGCATTTTGAGTAGTCATTGGAATAAAGCAGCTGAATGAACAACAATGGAGTACAATGCAAGAGAAGAGAGGGCAGGTATATATAGGAATGGGATAGGGTCTTATAGCGCGTCTCTGCTGAGCACAGGGTGGTTGAAGCACATGCAGATCGAGAGAATTTGGGGTGACCTAAAGAAGGTGGTCCAATATAAATTATAGACACTCACTACACTAGCAGACCGGCCCATTAGTATCGTTTGCTGTCTCCCATATACATTTATATGTTCACTCAATCAAGCATTTTTGTTAAGCTGAAGATTGTATAGGGACCTAATTTCCTTATCTAGCTACCTTCAAAAAATAAAAATTTCCTTATCTATATATATGAGATACTTTGGATGCGATCTCTAGTCCCTAACACTCTTTGACTAAAACCTTAATGGTATTCAAAATTTGATCAAAGTCCCTTAACTTTGTACACCTCATTAATATTTATATTTTTATAGTTTTGACATTAATTGTTTGATATTTTATGAGTTTTATAATCCTATAAATTTAAAATCCATCATTATAATAGTATTATAAACGGCTACAATAAAAAATTCAAACATTTTGATTGAATAAATGGATAAAAACTATGCAATAATAGGAAATAATAAATGGCAAAATAATATATCCCTAGTGTTAAAAAAATTGGTACATTTAAAAAAAAAATTTGGTACATTTCACATATAACAAAGTGGTACATTAATAAAGAAGAATGGGTACATTATAAATAAATTAGGGTCCAAATAAAAGTTTAAAAAATTATGAGTACAAATGAAATTTTAAAATATATGGGAGCAAAAAGAAATTAATACATGGGTACAAATAAAAACTAAAAAGAAAATACTACAAATTTAAAAAAAGGTTGCAAATTAAAAGTTGGTACAAACTAAAAATATAAATATATGATACAAAGTTTAGCCATAAAACATAAATATGCCATATGTAATTTTTCTATCATTGATTAATTATACAATGTCACGTGACGATAAATACATGGGCACAAATACAAATAAAACTTTAAAAAATATGGGCACAAAAAGAAATTAATATGTGGGTACAAATTAAAACTGAAAAGAAAATTGGTACAAATTAAAAAAGGTTTGCAAATTAAAAATGGGTACAAACTAAAAACAAAAATATAAGATAAAAAATTTAGTCATAAATATAAATATACTAATTGGAACATTTTTAACACTAAGGGAATATATTTAAAAATAAAAAGTATTTATTATTGAAATAATTAATGATGTTATTAATACCCAAGGACCTTGATCAAAAATTGAAAAGGAATATGATTTTAATCAATGGAGTAGCAAAAAGAGGGATGAGAACCTAATTTCTCCTATATATATATATATATATATATATATCCAGCTAATTCATTGAAACCCTTTTCAAACCAATATACATGCTAAAACTGAAATATGGCATGAAATTGGCTATAAGTATCAACAGAATATTTGTGTGTTATTTTTAAAGCCATGTTTGAAATATGGCCGTGTATTCGACAACTTGATTGCTAATGTGGTTACGGAAGAAGAATAGAATTAGCTGAAATGAATCAAGCTAGCTTAAGCGCTAAGTAACAGCTTAACAATCATAATTAACAAAACCTGATGTTGGAATCGGACCTGCTAACAAGGTTTACCGATCGAAGCGTATTTAGATTTACTTTTAGTTGTGACCCTAACAACTTGTTCGTAGATGGCATGCAATGATGTAAAACAACGACCTAAGTAGCAGGTAAAGTTATACATACAGTGCATGGTGGTGAGCAAGTGCAGCACAGCAATGAGATCGAAGATATCGTTGACCTTGTCTGAGCTAGCTAGCTGAGCTCGATCCAAATGACACAAAAGCTGTGCCGCATTATTTGTTTTTGTTACTAGCTAGCTTAATTAGCTTAGATAGTGTGTGCACCTAAATCTCACTGTAGAATTGATGGATGGGACCAATCCATCTCACTTTGCTTGGCTAGTGGAGCCTTTATATATTCTTCACGCTTGTGGCTTATTATTAGATTGGTAATTGGTTACAGCCTTCTTTGCCCTACATCATTCTGACGCATGAAGATCTTCTAGATATAGAAATGTCAGCAGTATTCAAACGCTAACTAGTTAATAATTTAACACAACGCTAAATACTTATTTCGGCCTTCTCCACAATAAAATCTCAAGATTGGAACCATTCGTTGAAAAATAAAATAAAATAAAAAGGAACCGTTCAGTTTTTAAATCATCATTCATAGATCGTCTTTATAAAAAAAACACACTCAAACTTGAAATCGCTTAGTTGTTTAGCTATTATTGTGATCATTTCATGGTTTATCCACAACATTATATACGCCAATTTATCAAGTCACAATTTGCAGAGGGGGCGTTGAGGGGGAGCGAAAGGTGTAGTCGTACAAGACCTCAAATTTGAAGGGGCCCCTAAATATTTGTCATCTAACATCATGTAATAATGTTCTATATTTAAAAAAATTGCTTTTATTAGCACTTTAAATTGCATTGTGCACTCCTTATAAGAGTATTTTTTTTTTCTTCCGAAATATAAAAGCTCTAATCTTAAGTGTCAATAATAATACCCTGAAATGCGGCAGTTTCTTAATTATATTATATAATAACGCTATACATTCAAGTGAAACTTTAAAGTTAGAGGTTGGATGTTTTTTTTTTTCATGTTTGGTTGTTTAAGATAAATCTGCTTTTGATTATTTAGCGAAGATTATGTTTGTAACTCTTTTTACTTATCATTAAGGATATTTATAAATATGCAACTAGTGAGTGCTAAAGTTTGTTTTTATTTTTTATTTTTTGAACAAATGATATTATCTACGCTAAGAGGCTGGGGGAGTGGGCTAACAATAATGTGATTCAAATTCACAGTTGGCGAGAATTGAATATAAGACATTTCACTTACAAGTGAAGAGAAATACCACTAGACCGTAGTACTAAGTGACTTTGTTTTAATTGAAGTGAATGTTTTCTAGTATCAATATATTGTCATACTTTTTTAAAACTTAAAACTATCTTAAGGAGGGCCCCTTTTACAAATTTCGCACAGAGCTCCTAAAATTTCATAGACTGCCCTAACAATTTGATAACTAAACGGCTTCTGATTTCTATGAATTTTTGCAGATTTCATCTTTCAATGATAACCTAAAAAATTGTCGGTTCCTATTATGAGAAATATTGTGAAGTGAACCCCAACTATCGTGCAAGTGCCATTATGTTAAGTTACTAAATGATTATGGCTTGAATGCTCGTGCGGAAATATATAATATAATTAAGCTTATTTTTCTTTTGATTAAGGAATATAAGTTTCTTTTAATTGGAAATTTGTGCAAGAGTAATTAAAACAAGAGTAATGCTATATTCATCATATTTTTCATACTATATTATGTCTTCATTCTCATCAGATGGATTGTTTGCTTGATTAACATCAAAAGAAAAATATCATTGGAATTGACATGTGGATTACTTTATTGATAATAGTTCTTTGATGAAAGACAAATATTTAAATATTCTGTACAAAATTTCTGATATTGCCTTGCACCGAATCTATGTTGAATATGAATTGGTGTGGAGTCTTGCTTCAGAACACTTCCCAGTAAAGTCTGCTACTTGGCTTGTTACCTGAACTTACAAACTAATTTCATTTCAGAACTTTAAAGAAAAAATTAGAGCTTTATTAAAAAAAACTTAACAAAACAAATTTAATGAAAAACACATAATAAACTTTTATTAAATAATAAGGGCACAAGCTAAAAGAGACATGCCAAACAATTAAAGCCCAACCGCTGGAAGCCAGCCCAGCGAGCAAACCCCAAAAATAAATTTCCAGCCCATGCCCCAAACGGTAGCCAACTTTTCTTACCCATTTCTGTCAGAATTCAAAGTTTCAGTTTACTTACCAAAAAAGAAAATACAATCAAATAGTATGCATTTCTTACATTAACGCTAAAAATTAGGAGGTCAACAAAAACCAGTAGGTTAACCTTTGGTGGCTCGCGATATAAAACTAGATTATGAGTAAAAGGATTTAAGTGGTTCACTTTTAAAAATTGGGTTACATCCACTGTGGTGGTTATATATATTTGATGTGGATTACAATAGCTTTGAAGACAATGTAATGGAATTTTGTTCTTGTGAATCCGACTGCTTATTAGGGGTACTCTGCCCTTTTATATAGAACCTAAGTGAGCCACAGAAGTCCTGGGCTCTTATTTATCTCACCACCTTGTCATTTAATACATCGAAGGTGTAAAGACAACCTATAAGTTATTTCTTCATTATCGACTTGACACGTGGAGAGGAAGTGACATTTACATAGAGCTACCTGTATGATTTTTTGGGTCAACGTGTAATGAGTGCAGCTTTCATTAGAGAGTGGTTAAAAGTACTTTACTCGAGTGTTAGGTTTGACATTATCTATGTCCCTTCAAAAACTTATGTTCGTGTCAAGTTTACCAACTGTCTTTAGTTGTCAGAAAGTACTTTTAAGTTTTTCTCTCGTTTCTTCTTATTAATAGACAACCCAGGGCTATGAGTGGTCTTTTGAGGGCAGTCGTCTTTCATTCTCATAGTGGTGCTCTGTCATCGAGATTCTTTGGGTCAACTTGTGTTGGAGATATGCCTTGAAAGTCAATCTTGAGAAGAAGCCTTTCAGGATAATGTCATAATGATTCATTATGGCTAATACAACCAACGGGTAAGACCAATAATTATGACTATCTCAATTAATCAGTACACGTCCAAATAATGAATCCACAGATAATGGATTCATGAAGAAACCAATCTAAAGAGATTATACTACAGAGACCTTCTATCTATGACCATAATGTCCTAAAAGGTTCCTGGTCATATGATTGTCAAGGGGTACTGACAATCTAGATATGCCAATCTATATTATATTTGCTTCAATATGAAGGATAGCTAGTCTCAAATCATTCGTGTAGAGACACCAGGGAAGTATGTAAGTACTCATCGATGCAATGAGTTCATTGAACACAATAAAACGAGAGTACTTGCATGGATTTCTACATACATGTCAAGCAAGTAACTTTACAAGTCGGAATAATGCAAGTGATCCTTTAACCTGAGACATCATAGTTATCTTGAGGATATGTT